TGTCCAGGTCAGGATTTTTCAACACCAGTGCTACTGACATGAGGGCCGCGACAGCTCTTCATTGTGGGGAGCTCTTCTGTGTTTGGTAACATATTCAGCAGCATCTCTGGTCTCAACCCACTAGAAGACAGCAGACAATCCATCCCCCCTACCCCACACACAGGGTCATGCCATCAAAAATGCCTCCAGACACTGCCAATTGTCCCCCAGGGGCAGGAAAATCTTTCTAGTCAATGGAAAATATTGTTCAGGGACTTCTGTGTCTAAGAGGGGGTGAGAGGGGGGGGAGGCACCATTATAAGAGACTAACAGTCAACAGGAGGTGACCACATCAGGGATGTAGCACTTAAAAAATTATTTTAATTTATTTTTATTTTATTGTATTTGAAAGGCAGAGTTACAGAAAGAGAGGGAGAGAGAGAGAGAGAGAGAAAGCTTCCATCCACTGGTTCAGTCCCCAACAGCCACAATGGTCTGTACTGGGCCAGGCCAAAGCCAGTAGGCAGGAGCATCATCTGGGTGCAGGTGCCCAGGGACATGGTTCTTCTTCCACTGTTTTCCCAGGCACATTAGCAGGGAGCTGGACTGGAAGTGGAGCAGCCGGGACTCAAACCATCGCCCATATGGGATGCCTGCATCACAGGCGGCAGCCTAACCCTCTACAACACAATGCCACCCCACCCCAACCCCGATGTAGCATTTTCATTGTACAGAAACCACCTGCCTCAGTTTCCCAGTGGCTCAGGGGTTGGGTGGCATTCTCAGTGCAGATTGAGGAAACCAGTGACACAGAGGTTGTTACTTGCCCACTGATCCGTCCCATAAAGGCTGTGAGTGGGGAGACTCCGCACATGAAGGAAACACTGCTTGGTGGAGGGCTGAGCCTTGAGCTGGGTCACAGAAGGTGGGAGTGTTTGGAGCTGGGAGGTATGGAAGGGGGATTGTCAGTCATGACATGGATTAAGGAATAAGGCCAATCCCCAGAAGACCGCAAAGGCAGGCGGGGGGAGAGGGGTTAGCATTTAAGAGCACATGGCTTACAAAGTAGGTTTTGCAGCAAGGCAAATTGGCTTTGTTGTTGTTGTTGTTGTTGTTATTATTATTATTATTATTTTGCCAGGCAGAGTTAGACAGTGAGAGAGACAGAGAGACAGAGAGAAAGGTCTTCCTTCTGTTGGTTCACCCCCCAAAATGGCTGCTACGGCCGGCGCACTGTGCCGATCCAAAGCCAGGAGCCAGGTGCTTCCTCCTGGTCTCCCATGCGGGTGCAGGGCCCAAGCACTTGGTCCATCCTCCACTGCCTTCCCGGGCCACAGCAGAGAGCTGGACTGGAAGAGGAGCAACCAAGACAGAATCCAGCGCTCTGACCGGGACTAGAACCTGGGGTGCCGGTGCCACAGGTGGAGGATTAGCCTAGTGAGCCGTGGCGCCGGCCAGCAAATTGGCTTTGAATCCCATTTCTAATTCTGTGTGTCCTTGGGCAATTTGACTTCTCAATCTTTTAGTTTCTGCATGGTTCAAACGGGTAGCAGTGCAGACTGACTGAAAACAAGTAGTGATGTGATGTGTGTAAGGCAGATGCTCAGTAATAAACACACACCCTGGACGCACTGCTAACATGATGGCTATAAACAGCCACAGTGTCCGTGTGCTGGGGATTGATAATCATTCCAAACAAGCCAATATTAAACTGTGTCTTAAAAGTTAGCGATATCTTTTGAATAACTAGTGAGTCATAGTCCTCCACAGCTTGGCTAACAATAAGCCTTTTAACACATTTCTCTTCCACTCAGCTTTAAATAATTCATACCGGCATACATTTTGACAACTCTTTTTCACGGGCTTATCCTGTAGCAGGCATGGTTCCAGGGTTTGGTACATTATTTCACTTCATTTTGCTTTAAGCCCGGGCAGTGTGAAGAACAGACTGAAATAATATCGTGATTGCAAACCTCGACTTTGATGCCACATTTCTAGGCTGAACTGGGTGAGCCATTTAAGCTCTGAACTGTGGTTTCACCTATACACTTCATAAGCCGATGGAATATGAAAAATATTCCATAGCTGGTGATTGGTCTTTGGTCATAGCTTGACCCAAGAGGAAGGAGTTAGTACTTCCAAGTGCTGTGGGAAAGAGTCTTGCATTTGGCAGTGTTTGAAGCAAGGCTGTTTATGTAAACAGAAATATGTTTCGAAACGATCTCTTGGCTACTCTCTGTAGAGCATCCTGCAAGAAGTTTGCGCAAAGCCCTAGCACTGAAAATAATCCCAATGTGTGTATCCTCAGCCCGAATCCGCCCTCTAAGCTCTCTCGGTGTCAAAAAGGCCTATCTGACTTAACACAGCAAAGCAGGGCTTGCATTTTCACACCCCGCTCACCTCAGGAAACAGTGACACAGTCTACTCACCACTGGCTCGGGCTAGAGCCCCAGGTGCCAACGTTGTGTCTCCCTCTCCTCCACCCACTTGCAATCTACCACCAAAGGCTGCGGGAGGAAGGTCCCTGTTACTTCCACCCTAGTGTGAAGTTTTCAATCAAAATCAGTCTGCGCTGGACTTCTGCATGCCTCTACACTGGCCTCCCTGCTCACAAGCTATTGATCATGGAATGATTTTTTTCTAAGTCTGATCGTGTCACTGTCCTATGTGAGAGTCTTCATTGCCTTCTCTTGCTCTTTGGTGTGGACTTCTTGCCCTGTGAAGTTCCACGTGATGAGCTCCTCTCTATTTACCTTTTCCTCATTGGGCCAAGCTACACATTGTTTCTTTCGCTTTTTTTCTTTTTGAAAAGAATATTTATTTATCTGAAAGACAGAGTTATAGAGAGAAAGGGATGGAGAGAGAGGGATTTTCCAACCACTGGCTCACTAGCCAAATGGACACAACAGCCAGGGCTGGGACAGGCTAAAGGTGGGAGGCTGGAATTCCATCAAGGTCTCCCAGATGGGTAGCAGGAGTTCAAATACTTGGGCCATCTTCTGCTGCCTTCCCAGGCACATTAGTAGGGGACTGAATTGGAAGCAGAGTAGCTGGGACATGACCTGGCACACACATGCGAGGCTGACATTGCAGAAGGTAGCTTATCCTGCGGCACCACACCAGCTCCCTACATTGTTTCTTAAACACATTAAGTTCCCGCCAGACTCTGGGACATTGGTTTGCTGTGCCCTTTGCCAGGAAAACCTGCCCTCCAGTGCTTGGCATGGCAGCAACTTCTGACTCTTTGGTTCAAAGAGAAGAAATTCCTGATCGCTGTGACTGAAGTAGACTCTCACATATATTTACCACTCTAGTACTTTTCTTCAATGTATGTATGTATCACAGTCTAACATATTGCCATAGTGGGTAGCCTCTAACGTGGGACCCATGACCCATCTGTGCTTTGCCTACCCTGGTGCGATTCCCAGACCTTCTCAAGTGCAAGTGGTTCGCATTACTTGCTTCTAACCAGAATACAGAAAAAGCAACAGGAAGTTCATTACGCATACATGTTATTACCTAAGAATGTGGTGTCCACCTTGCTAAGAGACTTTCTCCTTTCAGGACTTGGAAACAAAAAGCCACACCGTGAATGGACACCTGGGGAGGGACATACAGCAAGGAACTGAGGACTCAGTCCTACAGAAAGCAAGAAACTGGGTGCTGTCCTTGACAGCAGCAACTGGGATGTGGATCCTTCTCCAGTCAAACCTCAAATGACAGCCCAGCGCTGGCAACACTGTGATTATGGCCTCTGAAAGGACCCAACCAGGCTGTGCCTGGACTTCTGACACAGAAAATGTGAGATAACAAACATGTGTTCTTTCAAACCAATAGTTGGCAATGACTTGTGACACAGCAACAGATAAGGAACACACTTGTGCAAGGACTCTTACATTATAAAGTAACTTGGGAGGGTGGGCTTTGATGCAACAGTTAAGACAACACTTGGGATGCCTGCATCCCATATCAGAGTACCTGGATTCAAGTCCCAGCTCTGTTCTTGAACCCAGCTTCCCATTGATTCAGACCCTAGGAGGCAGCAGTGATGGCTCAAGTACTTGGGTCCCTGTCACCCTTGTGGGAGACCAATTGAGTTCCCAGCTCTAGCTGCTGCAGGTATTTGGTGAGTGGGTCGACAGAGTAAGGCAGTTAATATCAGACACTTGTACAAAGGAAAGAAACAGTCAATAAACAGCAACTTTGTGTACTGGTACACCTATGGTATTGGCAGAAACAGGCAGTTCTTATCTGTACAGGAGACGAATCCACCTTTTAGTGCCAGGTATACAAAATGTCATGGCATACAGAAGTTTCCATACTAACTTAAGGCCTTTAAGCCCCACTGTGGCAAGTAGCAGCATTTATTTTTGTCTGCCCAGTAAAAAGGTCATTTGCTTCTGATTTTGAAGCTGCCTCCCATCTCTCTGCACCCAAGCATCTCCACCCTGTGTGCAACAATGGAGCTGACCTAACTCTTCCCCTAGTGCCTGAATGGATATAAGTCCCAGCCCTCTTATCTGCATATCCCCTCCTCTTGGCAACTGTGATTGGTTGGGGGTTGTTCACATGACCAAAATCTGTCCAATCAGAACTGACAACAGAACATTTCTAGGTACTTTGGAAAAATAGCAGCTTTCTAGTCCAGTACAGAGTGCTAACTAGAGCTGGGACCTCTACATGGGGTAAGCCTGCCTGAAAAAGCAGCTCAGGTGGGGAGAAGCAGGCATGAGAAATACCTACTGATACTACTTACGCATCTGAATCCATCTGTGCCTTAAGTCTATCCTTGGCTTTTTAGTTGCATGAAACAAACCCCTCCCCTCACCATCCCCACAGTTTTGAATGTCACTAGCAACTTAAAAAATCATCGTCACCCAGGATCTGCCATGAAACTGACAGAGAAGGAATAGGCAGGTAGGCCTTGTGGGGCTGAGGGTAGGGAGGGAGGCAGTAGACAAAAAGCTCACCAAGACAGTTAATAAACTGCCACAGCAAAGAAAACCACTGGAAGCAGAAAATCCACAGGATGTTTTATTTTTATTTTGTAGTCCTTTACCAATCTTTTTGGAAGAAATGTCTTAACAGGATAAGTTCTTTAAAACAATACAAAAGTATCAAGTACAAATATGTAAAAAATTAACAGGATTGAGTATTCAACAGTAACAGTGGAAAGCAGGCCTTTAAGACTTTTATTTTAAAAAGACTCTTGGCTATATAGTTAAGTTTGGATTCTACTTTCCAAATTTGGGAGGCTGTTATTCCCAAATGGTACAATGCTTTCTGATTGAAAGTGAATAGTGAATAAAGCAGAAGAGCCTGCTCTGTTTTAAAATACGTTTTACCTCTTGTTTTAAATGAGTGACAAACATAAACAGCTTCCTGCATTTCTAAACACAAAAATAAAATGAAAAGAAACCCATTGCTGCCTCCTCTTGGGTCTGTAGACATAAGCCCTGAGGCTCTAGGTCTTAACCCAGATCCCTGCCAAGGTCAAGACCACATACTTGAGTGGGAGGTGACACATCACCCTGGCCAACTTGGCCGCTGCAGGATCCAACAAACACTAAAGTGGAAAAGCCAGAAGACACATCTAAGGAGTGTCTTGACTACTCAGACAGCTTCTCTTGAGTCATGACCCCACGGAGTGGGCGAGATCCAACAGCTTCCCTGAGGTGCTTGGAAAAGGGCTCTGGTTCTGTTCGGTCGGTCATTCCTGGTAGAGTCCCTCAAAGTCTGCAGACTTCATAGCCAGCTGACAGTCGCCACTGGGGTTTTGCTGTGATGGGGGTCTGTTCAGTAACAAGAAGAGGTGGTTAGCTCTAGAGCCAGGTAGAGGGTATACATAGCTGAACACACAACATTCTTGGCTGCTTTGTTTTCAGCTGCCTCTCCCAACCACACCAGTTCTGGGGCTAGGCCAGTTTTGTGCATGAGGAAACTGAGGGCACAGGATGTTACAACGACTGGATTGGGAGTAGGGTTGTGGCTCCTTTCCCCTGTTCTGATATTTTGTGTTCCCCAATCGTCTGCGTCCTCACCACAACCCAGTGAGAAAGGCAGAGCAAGGAGCAGGTCTACTTTACCAACTGGGAAGAAAACGGAGGTCAGAGAAATTAAGCAGTCTGTTCAAGGCAACACCAAGGAAAAATGGCAGAGGCTAGGATTCAGACCCCTAACTTTTGATTCCAATTAGTCTTCGACAGCTTCAGTGGAAAGGAGGCAGAAGGTAAAGAAGAAAAATAGGTCTTTCTTGGTCCCTGTGACTGTAGGTTGCGGGAGGCAGTGAGAGGAAAGGTAGTGCGGTTAAGAGTAGCTTAATTGGATCTATGTATTATCTTTGAATTTCAAAGAGTTCTGCCACCACTGACTGACACCCCACTGAAGTCTGGTTAGCCAGTACACATTTCCACTGCTTTTCTCTTTATGAGTCTATGCTAGAGAAGATGAGAAAGCTGAACACTCCCAGCTTGGAGTTCCCATCTGACAAAGTCCTAGCCAATGAAGTCTGCTTTGGGAGAATGAGAAGAGGTCTTCAGGAAGATTTCATTCACTTGATACTAAGGATCAGATTCAATTAGGAGCACTCATTTACCACCAACCCCTCAACCCCCATCCTGCCTCGCATGTAGCTGGTGCACTGGGTGCTAACTGTGGGCATACAGAAAGGCTGAAGGTTCATAATATATATATGCAGCGGCCCTGGGCTACCTACAACTTTTTGTTATGTAATAAAAATGAATCCCTATTTTTTTAAAGATTTATTTATTTGAAAGTCAGAGTTAAAGAGAGAGAGAGGGAGAGAGAGAGAGAGAGAGACAGAGAGAGAGACAGAGAGACAGAGAAAAACATCTTCCATCCACTGGTTCACTCCCCATATGGCTGCAACAGCCAGGGCTGGAGCAGGCTGAAGCCAGGAGGCAGGAGCTTCTTCCAGGTCTCCCGTGTGTGTAGCAGGGGCTCAAGTACTTGGGCCATCTTCCGCTGCTTTTCCTAGACCATTAGCAGGGAGCTGAATGGGAAATGAAGTAGCCGAGACATGAACCAGTGCCCATACGTGATGCCAGCATTGCAGGCGACTGCTTTACCTGCTACGCCACAGTGCTGACCCCATGAATCCCTATTTAAGTTCCTAAATATTTAGGATTTTTTATTTACTTGCCACATAAAGCAGTCCTACCTGATAACAAAAAAAAAAAGAATAAAGTCTTTCTTTTTTTTTAAGATTTATTTATTTATTTGAAAGTCAGAGTTACAGAGAGAAAGAGACAGAGAAATCTTCCATCTACTGGTTCACTCCCCAGATGGCCACAATGGCCAAGGCTGGGCCAGGCCAAAGCCGGGAGCCAGAAGCCTCCTTCGAGTCTCCTACATAAGGTAGCAGAGCCCCAGGTACTTGAGCTATCTTCCACTGATTTTCCTACGCCATTAGCAGAGTTGGATGGGAAGGAGAGTTGCCAGGATACCAACCACCTTTACCTGCTACACCACAAAGCTGGCCCCACTGCTCTTCTTCAGATGTGAGGAGGCTAGGTATGTTCTGACTGGTTTGGGAGACTGAGTGTGGTGTGAAATACGTGATTCTGGTGAGTCTACAAACAGACACAGGTGCCTCGGCTCCCTACTTTCCCCTAGAAGACAGGGCCTTGCAGGTCTCACTGTGTCCAAAACAAAGCAGCATAGTCTTTCCTCCTCAGAGGCTAGTTAATCCACAGAGGAGGCAGCTCCATGTATTTTCTCAAAAGATTGTTTAGGGGCAGGCATCTAGCATCGTGATTAAGATGCCACATGGGGGGCCAGCACTGTGGTGTAGTGGGTGAAGCTGGCACCTACAGTGCCAGCATCCCAAATGGGATGCTGGTTCATGTCCCGGCTGTTCCACTTCTGATCCAGCTCTCTGCTATTGCCTGGGAAAACAGTAGAAGATGGCCCAAGTCCTTGGGTCCCTGCACCTGCGTGGGAGACCCGGAAAAAGCTCCTGGCTCCTGGCTTTGGAACAGTGCAGCTCCAGCCGTTGCAGCCATCTAGAGAGTGAACCAGTGGATGGAAGACCTTTCTCTCTCTCTCTCTCACTCTCTCTCTCTCTCTCTCCCCTTCTCTCTGTGTAACTGACTTTCAAATAAATAAATAAATCTTAAAAAAAAAAAAAAGGATGCTACATGGGAGGCCAGCATCCCATATTAGAGTGCCTGGTGCAAATCCTGGCTACTCCGCTTCCAATCCACCTTCCTGTTAATGTGCACCCTAGGAGGCAGCAGGTGATGGTTCAAGTTCTTGGTTCCACGCCACCTACACAGGAGATCTAAGAGTTTCAGGATTCAGGCTTCAGTCCAGCCCAGCCCCACCTCTTACAGGCATTTGGAGAGTGATCCAACAGATGGAAGATATCTTTGTCTCTCTACCTTTCAAACAAATTTTTAAGATTGTTTAGCTGATTTTTATAAGTACACCTTACTGTTTTCCTTTCTTTTGCTTTCTCTTTTAAAACCACCTTAGTTGTTTGATGTTTTAGGGTCCAAATTCCATTACATCATGGATTGTACTGTTCTCCTTTTATCCTCTCATTTTTTTTTTTAAAGATTTGTTTATTTATTTGAATATCCCGCATGGTGCAGGGGCCCAAGGACTTAGGCCATCTATTACTGCTTTCTCAGGCCATAGCAGAGAGCTGGATCAGAAGTGGAGCAGCCGGGACTCAAACCAGTGCCCCTAAGGGATGACAGCACTGCAGGTGGCAGCTTTACCCACTATGCCACAGCACCAGCCCCCTTATCCTCTCATTCTTTGAGGGATTTAATGCGGAAGTTATTTTTCTTGAGTTTTAAAGAATTCAATAATGAAAGGGCTCTCAGATGAAAACTATGTTCATAATATATGCCATTTTCTCATTCTCTCAAAAGTGACACTTTTCACATCAGAACCTTCACAGACGATGTGTATTATGAAAAATCTATGCATGGATTTCAAAAACTTTTGCACCAAAATGTACTAACTTGTTATAACTTGTCTAACAGGATCTACTGACAGGCCCTAAGACAGATAAGACATCATTTTGAAGAGTCCTACCAGAGCAACATGAATTCTGCTAAAATTGAAACAAGAACAAACACTAAATTAATGTTGGAGCTTGGGTGGAAGAAAGTGAAATCATTGATCCTTTTCACAAAGTTGTCAGGGATAAATGGCCCCAAAGAAATCGGTTCACAAAAGGGTAACTTGTTTAAGATGGGACCAGACAATGTTGAAGATGAAGCCAGCAGCACTAAACCACTCATATCAACTTGCAATAAAAAAATTCATCTTGTTAGTGCCCTAACTGAGTAAGACTGACAATTAACAGCAGAAACAGCCAGTGCCACAGACATCACAATGGTTCAGTTCACATAATTCTGTCCAAAACATTAAAGTGGAAAAAACTTTTTGCCTAAACTATTGCACCAGATACTGCAAACAAGAGCAGAGCTTTCGATGGAACTTTGGCACAAATGGGATCAAGATCCTAAAGTATTCTAACAGGAAGTGAAACCTGGCTTTACCAGTACAATCTAGAAGACAAAGCATAATTAGAACAATGGCTGAATCAAAGCAAAAGCAGTCAAAGCAAAAGCAGAAGTAGGTTAAGAGTAAAGGCCATGGCATTTTGCTTCTTGACTTTCTGGAATGTCAAAGAAAAATAACATCTGCTAGGTACAAGAATGTTTTAAGAAATTAGCCAGAGAACAGAACTGTGGGACAGCGGGTTAACGCCCTGGCCTGAAACACCGGTATCCCATATGGGCACCAGTTCTAATCCCAGCTGCTCCACTTTCCAATCCAGTTCTCTGCTGTGGCCTGGGAAAGCAGTAGAAGATGGCCCAAGTCCTTGAGCCCCTCCCTGCACCCACATGGGATACCCGGAAGAAGCTCCTGGCTCCTGGCTTTCGATCGGCACAGCTCCAGCCATTGTGGCCAACTGGGGAGTGAATCAGCAGATGGGAGACCTCTCTGTGTGTTTCTACCTCTCTCTGTAACTCTGTCTTTCAAATAAATAAATCTTAAAAAAAAAAGAAAAAGAAATTAGCTGAAGCTTTAGCAGAAAAATGTCCATGAATCATCAGAAAATACTTCATCATGACAACATTCTTTCTATGGGAAATCATAAAGCATCCAGATTTGGGTCCTTCTGACTTGTTTTTGTTTCCTAACCTTAAAAGAATCTTTAAAGGGCACCCATTTTTCTTCAGTTAATAATGTAAAAAGGCTACGTTGACAGGATTAAATTTCCAGAACCCTCTGGGGGATGGACTACAAAGTGTCTTGAACTTGATGGAGCCTAGCCTATGTTGAGAAATAAAGTTTATACTTTTACTTTGTGATTCCATTTTTTCCATGAACATTCTGAAGTTCCATAATAAATTTGGAAGATCTGCATGACTCAATGAACCAATATCATCCAAATGATCAAAGCATGAAATTACAAAATCATGCATGGTAAAGATCCACTTAAAGTACTAGATAAACCAGTGGATGTTAATATGACAGAATACCAAAATTTCACATTTCAACTAACCTTTAAGAAACTACTATTTGTAGAGTTTTGGTGTACTGTCTCAGAAAAAATAGCCACTCTATTTCTCAACACATGAATAATAAAGGATAACATTTTGATAAGAATTTCAAGGGCTCTTCTGTAGAAAAACGAAACTGAGGATGTTGATTCTTGCAAAGGAAGAATTGGCAAACAATGGCCCTTGGGCCAAACCTAGTTGGCTGCTTGTTTTTGTAAACAATGTTTATTGGGACACAGCTATGCTCAATCATTTGCTTATTATTATTAACTTACCTAGATTTAGATCCCTTCTCTGTTACTCTCAACTTTTTGGATTGGCTTTATTTTCCTTATTACAGAATGGGCTAGTGGGGATCATTATGTGAGGTAAAACCTGGAAAGAGCTTAGCAGAGTCCCTGGCACAGGTATTAGCCATTATCACCAAATTAGCAAGAGCTTCAATGAAGTACAGTGTACTTCATTGAGATATAAGACCCTAAAATCAACACAAAGGGGAAAAAAATAAAACATTAAAAACAATCACTTTTGAAAATTAGCACATTATTTTCAACAAAGTTGTGGAAAATGCAATTTAAAAGGTAAGTTGATTTTCATGCAAAAATATTTTGAAATCTAAATCTATTTTTTTTTCATAATACACATTCTCCATGCATTTTTTGAGGGGTCACTACAGTCATCCAAGTGTTCAGTGAAAACCCGAATGTATTCCTCCCCTCTAAATTACTTTTGTACATTAACCAACTTCTCTACACCCCATCCCAGTCCCAGCCTCTGGGGACCATTATTCTGTTCTCTACGTCTACAAGATTGCTTCAGACACCATTTAATGAGTGAGATCACGCAGTATTTGTCTTTCTGTGCCTGGCTTGTTTCATGTTACATAATATTTTCAAGGCTTATCCATGTTGTCAGAAATAATAGAACTGAATAGCATGCCATTGTACATATACAACATACAATGTCCCATTGTGTTTATACACATTTTCTTCATCCATCCATCTACTGAAAGACACATTGATTCCATCTCTCGGCTATTGTGAATGCAGCTGCACTAAACACAGGCATGCAGATGCCTCTTTGATAATATGATTTAATTTCCTTTGCATATATACCCAGTAATGGGATTGCTGGGTTGTTTGTTAGTTCTATTTTTAATTTTTTTGAGGAATCTCCATATTGTTTTCTATAATAGCTTTACTAAAAACACCTTAATTTGACTTTTGGAAGTTAAATAGAAATTTTTCTAGAGGAATCAATAACCACCACTTCATAGAGTTGCTGTGACAAAGAAATGAGTTGTGTGTGTGACAGATGATAACAGCAAGAGGCTGCTTGAAAGTCCATTGTAAATTCCCATTTAATGTCTGACATTATGGAGAACTATCAGAAATACTCAACTCTCACAATTTTGCTTTGAGACAATAGGGGTAGGGTATTATTTGTAAAAATCCCCTCATGGGGTGGGCATTTGGCACTGTGGTTAAAATGTTGCTTGAGATGCCTGCATCCCGTATCAGAGTGCCTGGGTTCAAGTTCTGGTTCTTCTCCTGACTCCAGCTTCCTGTTAATGCACACCCTGGGAGGCAGCAAGTAACAGCTCAAGTATTTGGGTCCTTGACAGTCATGTGGGAAACCAGGATTGAGTTCCTGGCTCCCAACTTCAGCCTAGCCCAGCTCTGGCTATGGTGGGCATTTAAACAATGAACCAGTGGGTGGGAAATTTCTTGTCTATTTGCCTCACTACCTTTCAAACAAGTAAAATAAATAATTTTAAAATTATGATCAATTATTACATGAACACATATTTACCTGGGAGAAAACCAGAACCTGATGAGGCTGGAGACCACCACGTAGGACACTACGATTGCCCCCGACATGGTGAGTGACACAAAGCTCAAGCCACAGAGGACGCAAAGCAGTGAGAGGCCACCCACGGAGATGACCAGTCCTAAAAGAGAACATGGTTAGGAGAAGCATTCATCTAAAACAGGTTGAAAACTGGCAGACCCAGAACAGTGTGTCTAAAACAATGAGAGTTAGTTCAGGTTTCTTAGGTGAGGAGATCTCCCACAAAAATCCAAGTTTCTGGCATGGTTTCAAAAGGAGGTCTTCTCACCACCTCAGTGCGCATCTCTGCATGGCAACAACTACCTGGCCCTCTAGCGGCCTTCAATCCCCACCATCCCTAAAGTGTACTATATGTGGGTGCTTTGCTCATTTTTTGTTACCTGTCAAATTTGAGACTCACAGAAGATAACAAAAACACACTGCTGGAGGTAGGATTCTAACACAGATTCCAGTCTACTCTGGTAGACTGCCTTCTATGTGACTTTTAACAAGAACAAGAAGCTCTGACAGAATAGCAGATGCCCAATACACACTGTCCTCCCAACTGAGTCATTTTTCAAACGGGTGAATAACTAAGCCGCATACCTTCCAGTAATATGACTCCCACAAGAGCAGCCAAGAAGGTCAACACCACAAAGAACAGGAAGAATCCAACCGGAAGGGCCGACATGACAAGGAACACCAGCAGGGTTAGGGCCAGGAAAGGATGCCTGTCCAGGTACTGAGCCACTGGAGACTTCATGAAGGCCACCACCTGTGGGCAAAGGACAGGGAGCCAGGATTGAGTGTCATGCCTGAATCCCAGGTTGGAAGCATCCACCCAGGATGTGGCAATATAATGACAAAACATAAAGTTGGAAGGCTCATGAATAATAAGTCACTACCAGATGTCTCCCAAGACATGAGTCACCCAGGCAGCAATTTAAGGCAGTGTGCACAGGTGGTAAGTCTGAGAGCCCCACCCAACCTCAAGCCTTGTGAAAGGAGGAAAGATAAGTCAGGGCACTCCTGCTCAACACTGCTCTCTTGGGAAACACCCTCAGCACACGTGGAACACACATGTAATCTGTCACCTACTATACAGCTGAGGTTTTCACATTGCAGTCACTAAGGCACAAAGAGGTTAAGTCCTAGGGACTCAGCATCACCTGGGGACTTGTTAGAAATGCAGTATCTCGGGCTCTGCCCCAGGCCTGCTGAATCAGATTCTGCTTTTGAAACAAAATCTCCAGGTGATTTGTACATGCATTAGTTTATGGGGGGTTAGAGGAAGTGATGGGGAGGGAAGGAGGAAGGGAATATTATATTCTTAGGATTGTATCTACAAAGCACACTGAATCTGAAAATAAGAGTGAAGAAAAAAAAAAAAAAGAAAGAAAGAAGGGGCCAGCATTGAGGCACAGCAGGTTAAGCTGCTGCACGCATCATGGGTACCCTTCTTAGGCCCCACACCTTCTCTCTCCTCAGCACTTAAATTCTGGACCTAGTTCCCTTTTAAAGTTTCCAGCACTCCAGAACCTTTCTCCTACAAAACTAATCCTTCCCATGTCTCATTCCTTAGGGCCTTACAGGCCAGCAGCCACAATAAAAATATAATTCAAGTTCAACAATCACAGTGCCACCGGCCAATACATGTGTGCCTCGTAGAAGCAAGTGTTTACATAAGTGATTCAAGTTGTAAAAATTTCAGGACAAGCTGAAAACAGGAAAATTCTGTTCTTTATTCTGATAGCAACCATAGCACAAGGCTCACCCTGTTTAACAGAAAAGGCCGTTCCAAGAAGCCATTGCCATCTGACTTGGGACTTCAACTCCGCCTCCTAGAGGGATCTCTTGAAGCATGGCAAATCTCACTTCCTGCCCGGCCACAATAGGGCACAATGCTACCCACTACCCTACTGTGACAAAAAGCCACCAAACACTTTGCTATTTTGTTTCCATAGCCAGAGGTGACTGTGCCAGAAATCACCTCTGAGCTGGTGCTGCCCAGACTGGACACTCCAATTTCAGTGCCCAGGGAGCTCTTACTAAGTGAGAGAAGCTGATAGCGAGAGGCAGAGGGGCTGCGGGGGTGGCCATGCAGGACCACCTGCATGGTGGCTGGCTTCTCAAGCTGCCCCAGGTTGTCCCGAGTGCTGGCCATTCTGGCCCATGCATACCACCTGTGTCACTGGCAGACTGAACTGTTCTCTCTGACTCTTCCCATCAAAAGGGCCCCAGAGAGCACAGTGGGGAGGAGCCCAGGGGTATTCCAGGTAAGGAAGGCAGCAATGCACACAGCGAGTGTTAGGTTAGCACAGGAAGGCCTGTGTGGCAGGATGGGACAGTGAGGGTGTCAGACTCAAGGGTTTACACCTGCACTACCCAGCACTGCAACCGCATGTGGGCCATCCAACCTTGAAACGTGGCTTGTGCAACTGATGGCCTGGATTTTTTTTTTTTTTTATTTGACAGGCAGAGTTATAGACAGTGAGAGAGAGAGGGAGACAGAAAGGTCTTCCTTCCATTGGTTCACTCCCCAAATGGCCGCTACAGCTGGCGCTGCGCCGATCCAAAGCCAGGAGCCAGGTGCTTCTTCCTGGTCTTCCATGAGGGTGCAGGGGCCCAAGCACTTGGGCCATCCTCTACTGCCCTCCCAGGCCACAGCAGAGAGCTGGATTGGAAGAGGAGCAGCCGGGACTAGAACCTGGCACCCATATAGGATGCCGGCACTGCAGGCGGAGGATTAACCAAGTGAGCCACGGCACCGGCCCCAATGGCCTGGATTTTTCATTAAATTTAAAAACATACTGGTGGAGGTGGGATTCTAACTCAGAACTGATCCTTGATTCAGTCATTGGACAGTTTCTAAGCATATTTCAAAAAGGTTGGGCACACACAGCTACTCTTTTCAACTGAGATGTTATAAAATCTGAACATAGAAAGTATTTTCAACAGAAATTGGCATCCCAGGTGAGATGTGTTGTAAGTGAATTAAAAAAATGTAAACAGATGTATAGAAGGAGATAGATGGATGTATGGACAGATAGATAGACAGACAGATAGTCCAAACCTAGGCTGGTGCAGAGATGAAAAAGATGGGGGGATGTGGTATGAAAGTGGAACATCAAAAGAAAAATTGTTTTTCATAGGGACAGTTCGTCTTGGTGATCCAAGAGTAAAACAAGATTGCTCCTTGAAGGAATCCACTTTCTTCTTAGCCTCTTCTGAGTCTGGACTCTACAACCCAAAAATAGACAATCCCTCAGATGTACACAGAGACCATGGTAAGATGCAGAGAGGCTGGCGCCGTGGCTCAATAGGCTAATCCTCTGCCTTGTGGCGCCAGTACACCGGGTTCTAGTCCCGGTTGGGGCGCTGGATTCTGTCCCGGTTGCCCCTCTTCCAGGCCAGCTCTCTGCTATGGCCTGGGAGTGCAGTGGAGCATGGCCCAAGTCCTTGGGCCCTGCACCCACATGGGAGACCAGGAGAAGCACCTGGCTCCTGGTTTTGGATCAGCACGATGCGCCGGCCGCAGTGCACCAGCCGCGGCAGCCATTGGAGGGTGAACCAATGGCAAAAGGAAGACCTTCCTCTCTCTCTCTCACTGTCCACTTTGCCTGTCAAAAAAAAAAAAAAAAAAAAAAAAAAGATGCAGAGAGTTAAACTGGGTAACCAGCTTTTCCCAGGCAAGAAGCATCACCCTGCTAAGCCGATCTGCCATAGTAGGAAAGGGCATGGGTCAGCCAAGTCTCACCAAAACGGAGAGCACTCATTAAACACGCAGGTGCCCAGCACCGTTTCAAGTGCTTTCCATGTATTTCCTCATCTATTTTTCCTTACTATTCTGTGAGGCAGGTAATGAGGAACAACTGAATATTACCTAAATCCATGGGGCTAAAACACTGCAATTAACTTTTCATTCTTGTGGCAACAACGGGAGACACAATAGGAGGATGGGAAGTGGGAGAGCTTATTACTCAGTAACATGCTCCAGTTTGCAGTGCACACCCTGGAGGCAGCCACAGTTTCCAACCTAGGATTTCCAGGCACAGAGCCGCACTGAAGAACCCAGGGCTGCCAGGTTGGGATATCATGTGCCTGGCTCTGTGTTAAACCTTCTCAAACAGCAGCACAGATAATCCTCACTACAAGCTTATGAACCTGGCATTGCTTATTTTAGAAAAGAGGAGGTGGAAGCTCAATGAGCCAAAGTGACTTGGCCAAGGTCAGACAAAGGTGATTTATTTATAAATAGGCACTTGGGCTTGGGAGGATCCAAAACAGGGACAAAGTGGACAGATCAGAGGACATGAAGCTTCCACCTGGGGCCACACAGCAGCCAGACACATACTCTGGTGTCAGAATGCATAAGACAAATCAATGATTCTTTGTCCCTTGGTACCACAAGGGATGATGAGGAATTGAGACCATTTGAAACCACTGATGATGACAAACCAAAGGCACTACATGATGGCTTCTCCCAGATTATAGTCTCTGGGTGGCCTCTGGCATAGCATTCAGGGTTGGCACAGAGGTGCCTGGGGACATTGTTCAAAAGCATCCTTTGTGGCAAAAAGGTCTACAGGGGACACAACTATTTCATCACAGATAATCCACGTCAGGATGGTTACCTGCACAGCCCATGCTCCATCTCTTCACATGGAAAGGCTACAAGGAGAAGCTAGACAGCCAAGAGAAGGGTGTTGAGAGTTATCTCTGACTCCATCTACTTACCAGATCCCGGTTCTAATTCCTCCTGAAGCTGGGCCAGCTTCACACTTTCTGCCCTTGGTTTCAACTTTAGTATATGTGCTGCCGAAGCGAGCACCTGCCTTGGTTTCAAACTCAGCCTTACATTTCCCAAAAGACTTGGAAACCCCCACCCCCACCCCCCACGCCATTTACTTGTTTGCTTGAGATATTTTGAGCAGGTTTCTGTCTCTCTCAGTCTAAAAGAGAGACAATTAAGACTTGACTTGGGGGCCGGCGCTGTGCACAGTGGGTTAAAGCCCCAAACTGCAGTGCCGCTGGCATCCTATAAAGGTGCCAGTTTGAGTCCTGGCTGTTCCACTTCCAATCCAGCTCCCTGTTAATGTGCTTGGGAAAGCAGCAGAAGATGACCCAAGCCCATGGGCCCCTGAACCCACGTGGGAGACCCAGAAGAAGTTCCTGGCTCCTTTCTTCAGATAGGCTCACCTCCAGCCATTCCAGCCATTTGGGGAGTGAACCAGCAGATGGAAGACCTCTCTATCTCTCCCTCTCTCTGTAACTCTTTCAAATAAATAAAATAAATCTTTAAAAACAAACAAATAATCAAAAAAACCTGACTGGGCTTCAGAGGCTTCCAGGAAGAGATGATGGGGCTGTTTCCTACGCTCCACCTGGAAGCCCAATCTATTGCCATTTGGAGTTCAAAGGACTTACTAACATCTAAACTTCCCAGATACAGGTAAATTATGGTATGTCAACCTGATGCACTTCACTGATATACTTACCTTCTGTAAAAGTAACTGTTCTGAAGATCCACACTTCAACATTGAAAAATCACAGTACATAGTATCAAGCAAACATAAAATACAAAACTGTACCTGCCATAATTATAACCACTATTGGGTAAAAATTACACGCATAATCCTCATCCTCATCACTTCCACCACCACTGGATTTGTTAGTGATGAGTTTACAAGTAGTTTATTCTCCTTTTGCCTTCAATACTGCAGAGTTCTTCATAAAATTAATATTGATAAAGGCTGGCGCCACGGCTCACTAGGCTAATCCTTCGCCTTGCGGCGCCGGCACACCGGGTTCTAGTCCTGGTCGGGGCACCAGATTCTATCCCGGTTGCCCCTCTTCCAGGCCAGCTCTCTGCTGTGGCCAGGGAGTGCAGTGGAGGATGGCCCAGGTGCTTGGGCCCTGCACCCCATGGGAGACCAGGAGAAGCACCTGGCTCCTGCCTTCAGATCAGCGCGGTGCGCTGGCCGCAGCGCGCTGGCCGCAGTGGCCACTGGAGGGTGAACCAACGGCAAAAGGAAGACCTTTCTCTCTGTCTCTCTCTCTCTCACTGTCCACTCTGCCTGTTAAAAAAAATTAATATTGATAAATACAACCAAAATGTTTTAAATATTCTACCTCAGGAGTATCTAAAGAACATCAGGACTTGGACAACTGATCATTTTTCCTATCATTCTGGGAGTTGGTTGACCCAGAACCTATTCCAATGAACATGGCTGAGGATCTGGAATGAAGGGGTGAAGAAATGCTAAGGCATGAGTTCAAGTGCTTTGAAATACCTACCTGAGAAAGTTGCTGTGAATATTAACAAAGGCAAGCTGGTCAGACACCCAGTACAGGGTTTGGCATGCAATAGGAACTCAGTCAATGTTAACACACAATCCTAATTATTCATGGATTCCATATGTGTGAATGTGTCTACGTGCCAACAGCTCTCTCTAACTCAAAAATCAATACCTGTGGCCCTTTTACATCATAAGAGGACATGCATAAGGCAGCAAAAAACTGAGTCACCTAACGTGTACATTCCTAGTTGAGGTCAAATAAGGTGACAATCTGGCTTCTTGTTTCAGCTCATTAAACAAGTGTCCTCCCCATGGTCTATTTGGTACTACATTTTTCAAATTTTTGTGCTTCTGCTTGCTTATTACACTGGCCCCCAAGTATAGTACTAAAGTGGTATCTAGTGTTCCTGAGCACAAGGCAGTGATGTGCTTTAGGGAGAAAACACATGTTAGACAATACATGTTTATTCCAGGCACAAGTTCGAGGGCTGCCGGCCCTAAGCTCTATGTTCATGATCACAAATACACATTAAATAATCTTTAGGCAAAAATGCACATAAAATAAGCGTACATATCGATCAGTTGATGACCAGGAACCAAATCTGGTGCTCCCCTAGGAGCAATGGTTGGAGATTTGCTTATTCAGCACTTACTTACTTACTTACTGCAGTGACTTCGCAGAATGTAACCACCATAAGCAATGAGAATCAACTCTTGTGAAAAGGGCATGAGGACTTTACTTATTGAGCTAAATTTTGAGCCTCAGCCAGCTGACTAGAAAGCTACTTGTACAATTTAAAAATAGCTTGGTAAATCCAGAGAGTCCCAGATGGGTTCTGGAGCGAGTCCAGAAAAGGTCTCTGTAGAGTTTCCTGCTCTGAACTGCAAAGAAGTATCTCCTAGAGTAGACCTTAATGTAGCTGTGCTGTCCAGAACAAAAAACCGATCACAAAACAGCTTGTTTTGTTACACATACATATGCACTTTTATGGGTATATCATATAGGGGAAAAGTGTCTAGAAAAGATACAACAGATGTGAATAGTATTATCTCTGAAAGCTATTTTTCCTGCAGACAAAATACTGAAATACATGCAAAGCACAAAAATAAACATGGAAGAAGGCAAAATATAGGATCACAAGTCCGATTGCTATTGAGTAGCTACTGGATACCTGAAAAAATGGCTAATTTGAATCAAAATGTGCTGTAGGTATAAAACATACAAAGGATTTCAAAGAGCATAAAAAATGTAAAACATCTCAAGGGTTCTTTCATTAATAACTTTTTACAATGATTCTAAGTTGAAATAATATTTTAGATATACTAGGTTAAATAAAAGATCATTAAAATTCCACCTGTTTCCTTTCACTTGTTGAGTGTGGCTACTAACAATCACATATGTGGTGTATATCATATTTCTGTGATTTCTAGTGGAACACTGGGCTTAAGTCTTAAAGCAGGCCTTGGCCCCTAGTTTTTATGGGAACAAGTAAGCTAAAATAAGCAGCCAAACAAGAAAAGAATGGTTTCGTTAGCACAAACTGAGAATGGCCTCTCTATACCCAGCTAATGAAATTTCATTTCCCTTTACAAGTGGTCATTCAACAAAATTCTGGACTATGAGAGATGAATTCAAGGTATTGACTATTACTTCAGGAAGTCTCCTTAAATTGGAGGTAGCTAGAAAATATTTCATCCTCCACTCCTTCAATCCTATTCCTGCAATACAGATATAATGGCCGGTACTCCAGCAGCCATTATGGATGACGAATTTGAAGGTTATAACTTAGAGAAGGCAGGATGGTGAGCTAGAAACAATACTGACATACCTTCAAATTTCTTCTGCTTGCAAAAAAATTACTTTCTATCTTGTTTACACTCATGTTACTTTGGGATTTTCCATTATATATAATGACTGGACACTGACCTTTGAGTTATTCTTGAAAGACTCTATCAGCAAAGACAGCTTCCTCTGTAACTCTTGCAAGTCCTTTGAGATACTTGGGGACTCTTCTTTCACCATCCTGAAGGTTACTTCAATCTTCTTGAGGATTAATTCTCCTGTCAGTAAATCAATGGAGTGCGCAGTCCAATCCCTCATGCCACTTCGTCTCTGTCACTGGAGAAAAACAAAAATGTTTCTTAAATCATTAAAGGTCTCCATCCAACTGGTTCCACAAGAACTCCTCACACACTGAGGGAGGGCATGCAGACAGTGGATAACTTGGCAATATTTATCCAAATTTCACATTGCACACGCTTTAACCCAGCAACTGAAACCTAAATAATCAAACAAGTTTATAAAAATGTAGCCAAAGGACGTGTAGCACATCGCTGTTTATAATATATAATGACCGGCAGGACACTGGGAAGAAGCTAACTGCCCTTCAGGAGGAAACTGACTAGATAATGGTAAATTCAGTCACTAAAATGATGTTACTAATCAGTGACATTAAAAAGATGTTCAGGGGCCAGCATCGTGGCTCACTAGGTTAATCCTCCGCCTGTGGTGCCAGCATCCCATATGGGCACCAGGTTCTAGTCCCAGTTGCTCCTCTTCCAGTCCAGCTCTCTGCTGTGGCGTGGGAAGGCAATGGAGGATGGCCCAGGTGCTTGGGCCCCTGCAACCGCATGGGAGACCATGGCTTTGGATTGGCACATTTGGGGAGTGAACCAACAGAAGGAAGACCTTTCTCTCTGTCTGTCTCTCTCTCACTGTCTATGACTCTAACTTTCAAATTAAAAAATAAATAATATTTATTTTTTATTTAGATGTTCATGATACATTTTTTAAAAATACTCCAATTTGTTACAAATATGTCTTTTATGTATATATTGCAGAGTAAAAGATATTGGACATATAACTATTAACAGTATCATCACTGAGAGTCTTTTTTTTTAGCATGGCAAAACACTGAAAAAAAAAAAAAAACAGAAAGCAAGCTGAGGACACTATTTCAAGGCACACTGACCTTAAAAAATAAAAATGCCTTTCTAGTGAGACAATGATGTGGCCAATCTCTTTTCTTTATTTACTACCCATATTGTACAAGTTGGTTCCCAATGCCCTAAACCAATCTGTTTACTTGTGGGTCTCTTCCCAGTTTTGAGAGCTGTGCCTTAGGGAGAAGACCTTGCCGCAGTACATCCTCTGACTAAGGAGCCTGGAATTTCTGGGACGCTCCCAACCTCACATCATTTTTATTTATTTTTAATAAGGGCAGTTGGCTAAATACTTTTTTGATCCTTGCTGAGCTTTTATACTCCCCCCAAAATGGCTTATTTTATGATCCCCCAAACAAGGTATCTTTTCCATTTCTCCCTTACCATTGACCCCCTGACCTGTAACACAAATGCCTAACGCATTCAGTCACAGTGGCCAAAATTAACTGAGAACCTCACATTTATTTACCATATTGAATATCCTGCATGCTAATTATGTGAGTTACAAAGCAGAAGTTTCCCAATAGCTACAGGGTCTTGTGGGCAAATGAAAGCGCATTTTCAGGGCTCCAGCTAGCGCTGTTCTGCCTGTGGACAGGGAGGATTAAAGTCCCTCCACCCCATCTTCCATCTCTGAAGCCGCAGCCGGCCCAGACCTTGAATTTGAGATGTTCCCAGCACTCGGTTCCCCTAATCTCATCTCCGCAGCGGGTAGAAACAAGCCCAATTCCCAGGCACATCTCCTTTGGCCTGGGAAACCCAAGCGCCAGACCGGTTTGGGAAGTCCGATGGGAGCTAGCGTGGGGGAGCAAGCCACCGCCAAGCCATCAAGTGCATGGACCTGGCCAGCGAGTTCCTTACCCCTAGTCCCTGGCTCCTCGCAGGGGTCTCCGCGGGAACCAGGCAGCCTTCGCCGCACGGACGGTGCCACCTGGCGCAGCCACAGGTGCCCCGCCAACCCCCAAAGCACCTCGCGGCTCTCGCGCCCCCGCGGGCAAACGGCCATCCTCTAACGGTCCAGCAGGGAGGGGGGAAGAGCGGGTCGCATCTCTGGCTGGGGGAGGGCGCCTGGAGCCCACCCTAACCACCTCCTTTCCCACTGGGGCCCAGTCTTTCTAGTACTAGAAGCGGGGGGCATCCCAGCGAGGAGGAATGGGATGTGACCAAGCCACGCGCCGCGCCCGAGAGGTCACAGAGGCTGAGAAATGGGGACTCGAGGCGGGCTGGGGTGAGGGGTGCCGAGTAAAATCCACCCTTGCACTCGCAGCTCCTCTCTCTCGGCAGTGACTCGGTGGAGAGGACGGCACCCATTTTCAATACTCCTAGGCAGGAGGTTTGACTGCACGTCTTCCCAACCGGGTCTCCCGAAAGGAAGACGGTCTCCGAGGCAAGGTGGGGTTGGTCACCCTTTTACCAAACCTTAGCGTGCACTCCCAGGCGCGTCTGTGAACTCCCAGACAAGGAGACACCCCCTTATCAGTGACCCCGGAACCTGTGCACACTCTCGAGCCGCCGCCCCCGCGCTCTTCCACAAGTTCCCCGCGAGCCAGGGGGTCTCCGCGGCCGAAGCACCCTGGGCCGCGCGGCCCCGAGCGTGGCGCTCTCACCTGGTCCCGCGGCCGCGCTGCCGCCGCCGCGCCTGTTGTGGGGAGCGAAGGGAGGGAGGAGGAGGAGGAGGAACCGGAGCCGCCTTCCCCGCCCCTGGGCGCGCGCGCGCCACCCCGAGGCTCCGCCCCCTGCCCGCGGCCGGAAGGTGGGCGAAGGCTCCGCGGCGGCGGCGGCGGCGGCGGCCTCGCGGGTTCTGTGAGGCGCGCCGGGTCGCTGGGCCAGACTTGGGGTCCGCCCGGACAATCCCCGAGAGGTGTAGGGTTGAGGAAACAGAGGCTCGGAGAGTGTCCCTTCCGGCGGCCTGGGCTTGGAGTGAGAGTGCCCGGATCACCTCAGGGTGATGCTGAGGATGGGTTTTCGAAGGAACTTAGGGTTTCGCCTCCTAAATTCGCAGACTCGGCTCTTCTAGAAGCATCTGTGGCGCTGAAGACACAGGTGCAGGTGATGAGGTACCAGCTTGGCTGGAAGTCTTTAGTCGTTACCCTCAGGGTTAAAGGTTATGAGTCACAGAGCCTTAGAGATGGATTTGATTAGTTTTTTTAAGTTGTTTGACAGGCAGAGTGACAGGGAGAGAACGACATAGACACATCTTCCAGCTGCTGGCTCACTCCCCAAATGCGGGCAACAGCCAGGGTTAAGGCAGGCGCCAGGAAGTCCATCGCAGTCCTAAGTGCATGGGCCATTGTGGCCTGCCTTCCAGGCACGGTAGCAGGAATGCTGACTTGGCAGTGCGGAGTAGCCAGGACTCTCTCCCAGGTGGGATGCAGGTGTCCCAAACAGCAACTTAAACCGCTGGGCCACAGCGCCCACTGCTGGCATCTCTCTTGTACTTATGGTAAAGTTTTGAGCCAGAGCTACAGCACAGATAAACCCAAATCCCTCAGTTCTAAGGATCCAAATACGAGCAGGAACTCAGGTTTCCTGGCCCAAATCCACAACCTATTAGAGCAGACTTTCTCAACAGCAGGGTTGTTGACATTTTGGGGTGGTAGTTCTGTTTCTGGACTGTCCTGTGTGTTGTGGGATATTTAATAACAACCCTGGCCTCTACCCATTTCATACCAGTAACAAACCCCCTCCCAGAAGTGGTAACAGAATGTCCCCAAATATTGCCAAATGCACCCTTGGGAACACAGTTGGCCCCTGTTGAGAACCACTACCAAAGGGCATACTGGGAAAGACCATAGACTGGAGGTTCAACAGCCTTAGACTGTGGTCCCAGGACTGACTCTTAATCTGTGACCTGGGCTGAGCTACCTCTCTGAGCCATGGCTTCTTCTGTAAAATGGGGCCAGAGAGGCTTCCATGGTGGTGCAGTGGGTTAAGCTGACCCCTGTGACACCAGCATCCATATAAGCCCTGGTTCAAGTCCCAGCTGCTCCACTTCTGATCCAGCTCCCTGATAATGCACCTGAGGAAACAGTGGAAGATGGCCCAAGTACTTGGAATTCTGCCACCCACGTTGGAGTTTTAGGCTTCTGGCTTCACTATTGTAGTCATTTGGGGAGTGAACCAGCAGATGGAAGCTGTCTTACTCTAACTCTGCCTTTCAAATAAGTAAATCTTTAAAACCAAACAAAACCTGGGACAGAGATAGGCCCAAGGGTTGGTCTCCAACTGTACAATTGTTGGGCACTTTCCATGTGCATGGGCCTTGTTGACTTACCTCTCCTCTGCAATCTGTGTCCATAGCAACCTGGAGAGAAACTCTAGGTAAAGAGCAACAGTCCCTGGACTATAATGAAGACTGATGCAATATTGGCTGTAAAGAAGTTATAACTTATATGGTACATAATAGGAGTTTAAGAACATTTGTTGCTATTATTAATTCTGCAACCCAATAGTCCTGGAAATAATCAGGCTGGTGGATAGAGAAGTAAGCTTGGGGATAATGATAATAGTGACGATGAGGATGAAGGTGAGGAGGAGGAGGAGGAGAAGGGGGAGGATAAACTGAGGGCTTCTACTCTAACTCCTCCACACCTCCACACACACAGGGAGCTAAGTGGAGAAAGGAGAGCATAGCTGGCACCGCGGCTCAATAGGCTAATCCTCCACCTAGCGGCACCAGCACACCGGGTTCTAGTCCTGGTCGGGGCGCTGGATTCTTTCCTGGTTGCCCCTCTTCCAGGCCAGCTCTCTGCTGTGGCCAGGGAAGGCAGTGGAGGATGGCCCAAGTGCTTGGGCCCTGCACCCCATGGGAGACCAGAAGAAGCACCTGGCTCCTGCCTTCGGATCAGCGCGGTGCGCTGGCCGCAGCGCACCAGCCATGGCGGCCATTGGAGGGTGAATCAACAGCAAAAGGAAGACCTTTCTCTCTGTCTCTCTCTCTCACTATCCACTTTGCCTGTCAAAAAAAAAAAAAATTAAAGAAAAAAAAAGAAAGGAGAGCATAAACGGACAGGTCTCCCTAAATTCTTAAGCTTCAGGCAGTATTATTTGGCTTCATGCATTTTCTTGGCTACAATTATAATGGGTCTCTTTCGCTTCCCCTGCCCCCAAGGGAAAACATTTGTTTTTATTCTTGTTTCTGCCTTAGTATGACACACTGCAGCCATCATTCCTGGGATAGATGTTTCTTTGGGAAGCCAAATCGCCTGGGATTTTTGTTTAAGAGTGCCATCTAGGGGTGCTCTGTGAATCTTCCGATTTCTCCCATCTGTGAATCCTCTAATTCCTCCCACCTCTGGCATTTTTGTAGGACCAGCCAGGTTTTGTTTCTCCTTATGTGTTGACTGCCTCTTCCACTAGTAATATTCCAGGACTGCCAGGATCCTTAGAATCTCTCCATAGCATCAGGACTTGGCTCTAAATGTACATTTGATAAGTTGATAAAAGTAAGTCCACATAAATACTCTCCTGTGCCTTCCCACAATTACTTGCTGCAGTGGACTAAATGCCCCAGCCCCGCCCCTCACCCCAAACTCTCATGTTGAAATCCTAAGGGAGGTATTTTTCACAGTGATTAAGATTAAGATACTTGTCAGAATACCAGCCTCCTGTAGGAGAGTGCCTAGATTCAAATTGGCTCTGCTCCCAATCTCACCTTCCTGTTAATGTGCAGCCTGGGAGGCTGTAGGACACCCAGCTAGAAGCTCTTTGCTTCAGCCCTGGGTTTTCAGCCCTAGCATTTGAGGAATGAACCAGCAGATGGAGACCTCTCTCTCCCTGTCTCTCTCTCTTTCTCCCTGTCTCTCTCCCTGTCTCTCCCTCTCTCTCCCTCTCTCTCCCTTTCTCTCCTTTTCTCTCCCTCTCTCTCCCCCTCTGTCGCTCCCTCCCCTTGTCCCTCTGTCCTTCAAAGTAATTAAATAAAGAAGAAATTCCAATGCCCAATTTGATAGTATTAAAAGGTGAGCCTTTGGGAGATGATTAGGTCATACAAATGGAGCCCTTATAAATGAGATCAGTGCCCATCTCAAAGGGAATTAGAGGTCCCTCCAGCCCCCTTTCTATCAGAAAAGGATGCAAGGAGAAGTTGGAAGTCTACAACCCAGAAGAGTCCTCACTGGAACCCTACTATGCTGGCACCCTGATCTTAGACTGCCGGCCTCCAAAGCTGAGAAATGAATGTCTGTGGTTACCCAGGTTGTGGTACTTTGGTATAGCAGCCCCAACGGACTAAGATATTTGCTCCAGTTAAGCAATAATTTTAGGCTTCAGAAAAGATTTTCCAAGAGCATTGGGCTGTGAATTAAAAATATGTAAACTTCCCAGGAAGAGATAGAGACCCTAAAGTGTTAATGCTATAGAGATGGGGACAGCCTAGAACCTAGATGACCTTTCGCCTCCCCATCTTGCCAGCTGTAGGAAATAAACATGTAGCACACTTAGTCAAATATCAGTTTCAAGTACACAATTGATAGCTTTTTAGTGGAACTACGTCCAAATGTTGGGTGGGTTATACTTATACTAAAAGTTCTTTTACTTGAAAAAGTGTTTATCTGCAATTCTAATTTAACAGGGCATCCTGTATTTTATCTGGCAACCCTAGGCACTTGTAGTTGAGGGTGTTATAGAACTTGTAGTATACATCTTGTATTGGGAATTACCACATGAGGTTAAATCAGATGACAATACTGGTGTAGATGAGGTGGCTGGGGGCGGGGGGTGGAGTGGCACTTTCAGTCTCTTCTGCCAGGAATTTTATTTACTTTTCGTCTTTCTCAAACTACACGTATGTAGGGTTTTGATGAAAGCTACAGAAAAAATTCCACAAACAGGTTCAAGTTCCAGCTTTGCTGTTGACATAACTGAGTGACCATAGACAGGTTATTTAGTGTCTTGTTTCCTCAACCATAAAACTTGGAATAATTATAATTATCTTTAGGGTTGTTGATGTGATTCAGAGAGGTGATGTTCATTCGCTAAGAGCTTAGCACTACTGCTAATCAACAGAAGCCAGTAGTGTGGATTAGATGTTTTTGAACACAGATAAACTTAAAGGACACTAAATTTCAGATGGGGGCTCACACACAAAGTCACAGGGCTCCATGGCACTTACCTAGCCCGTTCTAGTTCTTCAGCTCATTGGGTTAATCCCTGACCAGAAATCATTAATGGTTTCTGAGGATGTCTACAGAAAATGAG